TAATTTGGCTATTCTTAATAAATCCAAATAGGTTTAGGTCTATATCTAATTTTCTACCAATATGGAAATGGTTCAAGCTCTTTGGGATTCAAGAAAGAAACTAAAGCAGATCAATGGCTCTGAGTCCTCATGCTATTTTATAAAAGGTTAAACTTGTTATCAAATTTTTCATTAAAATAGGGGTGGAGAAATAAGACTGGAGATGGGAATAGCAGCAGTTGGGATTATAAAATAATTAAGGTCATCAATGGGGTATAGCTCAGTTGGTTGAATTCTTTCACCTCCATCCATGTTGGTAGTGGTTCAAATGAATATTCTGAGTCATAATGAATATTTGTGTAAAGCCCTCTCCCCTAATCGCTTGTACTTTAAATAAATAAATAAATAAATAAAAAGTCTAGTCCAGTAGGACCAAATGCCAATGTTAATGGGCTAGACTAAATTAAGCCAAGTAGGATCAGACTAACTCCAAAGATATGACCAAGGCCCAAATCAAGTCAATTATGAATTTTTTTTACAAATTTATAAATAAACCCAATCCTAGACATGTATTTATAAAAAAACCCAAGCACTATTTAAACATAAAAACACACCCAAAATCAACCCCAAAGTCAACTTTTTGGGTGTGTTTATAAATGGGTTTTGAGTGTGTGTAATAATGGGTTTTGGGTGTGTTTATAAAGTGTTTTGGGTGTTGGGTTTTTTTATAATTTCAACCTCCATTTTGGGTGTTTTAGTGAAACTCCCAATTTTTTTCTTAACTAATGGAGAGGAAGGACTTGAACTTGCAACCTCTTTCAATATTGAGAAGAAAGATATAACTAGGTAAGTAGTTAGTTGATCAATTATAAGCTTTTAAAACTCTAAAATTCAGTAAATGACACACTAGTGTAGTGGTTTGGAGCAATTGCTACCCTATGAAAGGTCCTGAGTTCGAGTCCTAGCATCCGTAGTGTGTGTGAGTTTGGTATATTATAGCTTCTCTTAATAGGAAAAGTCTTTTAAAAAAAGGATTAACTACATTTTAGTCCCTAGAGGTTTAGGGTCAGTATCGAAATGGGCCCCAAGATTTCAATTTCATCAATTTCATACCCAATGTATCCAAAGATGACCAATTCACCCTGTCCGTTAGATTGACTGTCTGGTCAAATGTTAAATGTTGATGTGTCAATTGTGGGACCCACCACAGACCTTGACAACCCATTCCAACTATTTCCCGTGAAGGACATTTCAAAAATAAAATTAAAGAATAATTTTTTTTAATATATATTTTTTCAAAACCAAAAAACAAAAAACAAAAGTCCTAGCAAGTCTCCTTCCATAGCCACCCTTCGACGACCTCCACAGGCCCTCCCTTCTCTCCGACTGGCTCCCCAACTAAAACCCAAAAACTCCTAGCTACACTTGTGAATCATATCTTGGTTGTTAAAACCCACCTTTCCATTTCATTCAAACAACTTCCCAGAACAACAGCGACACAACCAAAAAAAAAGCTCACGCACCGTTGGATCTAAAGAGGAGGCATTGATCGCCGACGTTGAGGGTGAGGTTGAAGTCCTCATCCACCAAAAAGTTTCAGAAAAACTCAAGAACAAAATTCCAATATTCTCAAGAATTTAAGATCTAAACAGTAAACTTTCCCAGTAAATCAGAGAGAAAAAAAAGAAAATGAATCAAATAAATCACAATGTCCACCACTTCATTGACTATACAAATCCTAAAACCCACCTCCAAAAAAATCAGAATTAACCATAAAAATAAAAAATAAACCAAAATAAAAAAACAAACAAGCAATCAAAAACAATAACCCTCACCTCCTCTGCAAATGCTTAGACCAAAGAGCAATATAACCCTGCACAAATCACAGCCCAACCCAGTTTTGTTAGGGCAACTGATAGTGAACACAGTGGGTTCCCCAGCCTTCTCTACCTGGCTAATTACTGCAACATCCTCATGCAAAATGCACATTGCTTTGCTTTCAGCTACCTACCTCTATTCCTAAATTCTACTCTGTTTTGTGCTATATTTTTGGATCACTGGAAAGCTCAGCGGCAACATATAAAATGAGCCAAAAACCCCAAGTGGGTATCTTCGGATTCTCACTCTTATTGTTTTTATTGACTAAATGAATTTCAATTTCCTGAATTTCCAATTTCTTGTCCTCATTCCCCCAATCCACTAAGGCCATATCTGACCCACTCTCTAATTCTCTCTTTCTCTTCCTCCCTCTCCCCTATCTTTGCCATCCTCATCCTCCTCCCTATATTTCTCTCCCTTTGTGGCTCAGTTTGATTGGATTGGACAAATTAGGTTTTTTAGGTTCGGGTATAATTATGGATTTGGAGCAACAACTTATAGGGCTAGTGAGTTATTTGGTTCTGATTGTGAGGTTGATCTTGTTTTGGATGTTTGATCGTGTTTTGGGTTGGAGAGGGCCTGGGATTGATTGGGGGATGAAGGGTTTGTGGAGGGTCAACGAAAGGTGGATGGGAGATGGAGAGAGAGGGTTGCTAGAGCTGGGGATTTTGTTTTGTTTTGTTTTGTTTTTTTATTGTTTTAAAAAATATTTTTTTTTCTTTCCAGAAATGCCCTTCACGTGGACTAGTTGGAATGGATTGTTAGGGTCTATGGCTGGTCCCACAGTTGACACATCAACAGTGGCGGATCCAGGATTCTGTGGCCAAGGGGGCTTAGTGTAAAAGTTCCGAAATTTTTTTACAAAGAAAATAATGCTAAAAAAGCCTATTAATTTGTCATTCGAAATTTTTCCTCTACCTCAGTAGCTATACTATATTCCAACCAATCATACTCATCAAACCATTGAGCAATGAAACGTCTATTAAATCCTGATTGATTAGTTTGTGGGAATTTATAACTTCTAGGTTGACAAGGTCCCTTTTGTAGATATACTCTTCGGATCTCATCTCGAATATTAGGACTATAATCCGTCATTCGAGGTCTTAGTCCAGGGTTTGCCTAAAGATTAGCTAATATCTCATCTACTTCAATTGGTCTTGTTGCATTTGAACTACCTGGATTAGACGGAGAAGGACTATTCGTAGATAATTTTCTTTTATAGAATCATTCCATAATTCTACAAATCAATTAATTGAATCAATCATTAATTTTTATCCAAATTATCATATGAATATGAAAATGTCAATAACATACTCTCAATATTCACCCATATCAATCAATATTCAATATACCAAATTATCATATCAAATATCATTCAATATTTAATATACTCAATCAACAATCAAGCATAAACGCAATCAATCTAAATTATCCATCAATATGATTCATATCCATAGATTTCATTACATAAAAAAAAAATATCAATATCAACAATATATTATCACTATAAATTTATTAATTTAAATTTTGACCTGTTTACTTGTACTTGAAAAAAAGGGCGGCACAAGATAGTGGTGGTGATCGCCAATGGGCCACCGGCGAAGAGTTGATGGAGGTTAGGAGGTTGGGAGAGGTTAGGATTTGAGAGGGAAGCATTGGGGGACCCAGAAATTTTTTAGCGGAGGTGCAATATTGACTAAGTATGAAAATGGTTTTTCGGAATAATCATTTTCTCAAGATAATTTTTGGCGGCTTTTATTCCTTACACATCAAATAAGAAAACTTGATTTTATGAGATTTTAATATGAAGTATATATTGACTTAATGAGCCATCATTTTTAGCATAAATCGTATTTTACACTAAAACCGAATTTTCATATTTTGATTTGGTGAGAATTTGATTTTCTAGTATTTTTATTTGAAACCAAATGGGGGGTACTTCCTTATTTACATTGTAAACTTAAGTAAATGGAGTAATATAAAAATAAATAAAAGTAAAAGGACAAAGACATTTAGTAAAAGGTAATCTGTACAACAGTTGAGCTCCTGTGTTTTGTTTTGGTTTTTTTTTTTTATTATAAAACCTGGCCCAAAACGACGTCGTTTTGAGGCCAGGTCATTTTAAAAAAATTGACTGAGCCTTGGACCAAACGACGTCGTTTGGCAAGGCTGTTTTTAAAAAAAAAATCACACACAGCGCACGCGCAAGGCGCAGTGCAGCTGCGCAACAAGCTTCTCCTCCTCCTGGGGCTTTCGTCGAGCAGTTGGCGTGCATCCAAGGGGGCTTCCAGCAGCTATCCAAGGGGGCTTCAATGGAGTCCCTTGCCAACTTTCCAGCCTTCCAAGGGGTCGTCCGACCCCTCTTGTCCCAACGTGGATCCGCCACTGCACATCAATATTTAACGTTTGACCAGACGGTCAATCTAACGGACGGGGTGAATTGGTCATATTTGGACACATTGGGTATGAAATTGAAATCTCGGGGCCTATTTCGATACTGACCCTAAACCTCTAGGGACTAAAGTGTAGTTAATCCTAAAAAAAAAAGGAGATTCACAAATATACCCAAAATAGGGGTTGAAATTATATTTAAAAAACCCACATGGAATGCACTTTAGAAACATACCAAAACTTATTTACTACATAAGAAATTGGTGTTGAAGTCCCTATAAATTATGTGACTGCCATTGATCAACTTAAAAGAAGCCTAACAAAAAAAATTAAAAAGCACCCAAAACAAGCCCAACACAATTTTATAAATAAATTTAAAAAAAAAACCCAAACAATTCATTACAAATAAAACGTCTTGAAAATCGTAGCCTCAGTAACGCATCATGTTGATTAATGACTGTAATGTTCCACACATTTGCTGTCATATTGATTAATGGCTGTAATGTTCCGATCTAGGGTAATAACACTGTTAGTTTATTGTTGATTAATGGTTGTAATGTTCTAGTCTAGGATAATAACACTGCTAGTTTCCTATAACATCCTATTTCTAATGCATGTATACCCCCTGTAATGTTCCAGTCTAAGATAATAACACTGTTAGTTTTCTATGACATTCTATTTCTAATACATTTTACCCCTATAATGTTCAAGTTTAGGATAATAACATTGCTAGTTTACTGTCATGTTGATTAATGGCTGTAATGTTCAAGTCTAAGGTAATAATACTGCTAGTTTCCTATGACATCATATTTCTAATGCATGTCTACCTCCTGTAATATTCCAATCTAGGGTAATAACACTACTAGTTTCCTATGACATCTTATTTCTAATGCATGTCTACCCTTGTAATGTTCTAGTCTAGGATAATAACTCTGCTAGTTTCCTATGACATCCTATTTCTAATGCATATCTACCCCTGTAATGTTCCAATATAGGGTAATAACACTGCTAGTTTACAGTCATGTTGATTAATGCTTGTCATGTTGTTATTTCTAATACATGTCCACGAAAGAAAAGAAGAAGAAAGAACAAACCAGATCAACTCAAACAAACCGAGCCCAGATTGTTAATACTATTATGTCATAGAAGTACATTGTTAATACTCTATCATAGAAGTATATTGTTAAACAAAAATGAGATCCATAACTGAAATAGTAACAAAAGATAAATCGATCATCAAAGCTTAAAATACATTTAGAAAATCAACTAAAATCTGAAGAGTAATTGAAGCAAAAGATCAAAAATCTCAAGTCCAAACCAAACAACGACGACGACGATGTGGCGAAAGAGGAGTAGAGCTCGAAGATGAGGAGTAGAGCTAAGAGAATCTGATCAAGGTTCCAAACAATCTAAAAAAAAATGAATAGATGCACGATTTTAGAACAAGAAATCAAAGGTGAAATATTGAAAATTGTAAATCAGAGATGAAGAATATAGTTGGACCTGAGACTGAGCTTCAATGGAAGCTCCTCTTGCTCTAAAACCGATAAAGCACCAGCGAAAAAGGAGAAAATAAATCTGATTTGGTTTTTTGGCAAATGTGATTTTTCTCTCTCAAATCCATGGTACAAGGATAATATAGGTATTTTACACACATATAAACTGAAAAATAGCTATTAACTTGAAAAATTGATAGCTATTGATTTTTGGTTTTTTTTAATTATTTTTTTTTTGGGTGTGTTTATAATTTTTAGATGATGTAGAGTTTTTTTATTTTTTTTATTTTTTATTTTATAATAAGACGATGTTTAAGATTGGGTATATAACTAAATTTGTATAAAAAAAACTCTAAAATTCAAAAGTTAGAAAATGATTTTGACCACCAATTGTACTGGACGTTTTCATAAGACATTATTTTGGATGTTGACATTTTTTTATTTCGTTGGAAGAAATGATTTATTAAAAAATAATAAGCACCATAAGAGTGTACAAAGATAGCACTAAAACAGCCAATACTATCTAAACCACAAGCATGAGAGATAGGAACAAATTTGTGATCTTTTAGAAAAAGACTCAATATCGTCTGTCCTCCACATTTTGCTCAGCATATCAATAGTGTAACACCCCGACCCCAAATTTATCCCTTGTTTTAATTTATTTAAGTGGAATTGAGAAATTACCCGTGGGATAGGGGTATTTTAGTCATTTTCTTATCCAGAAGGAATTTGGGAATTTCGGAGGTACCATTGCGTAGAGCACGGCGAGATGAGTTCGTAGACACGTAGTGGGCTCGAATCAGAGTTGTAACGAGAGAGATACGATCTAAATACCTTCAGTGGCAAAATTGTAAATATTTTGAAAGAGGTTTTTGGTTAAAAAGACGGAACTGCCCCCGTCTCCCGCGCGTCCCTCTCTCTCCCCTCTGGTTTTCGCGACAGCCACTGTGGCCGGCCACGTTTTGGCCGGCCGTGCTCTCGTCCGGCCACCAAAGTCGACGAGGCCGGTACCAAAATGACCGGGCCGCCGTCCTCTTCCTACCCCAGTCGGGTCTCACCGCCAGCCGCCGTGATTTCGCCGGAAAATCGAAGAGAAAAGCTCGGTTTCGCCCGAAACTTCGCCGGCTTCGTTCTCCGTCGTCCGGCCGCCATTTTTGGCGATCAAGGTATGGAAATTCATCCCTTCTGCATGATCTAGCTGATGGTTGGGTAGGATTGCATCGATTTTGAGCGTAGGATGTCTGATTTTTGAATTGGATTTCGGCCGGATTTCGAGGGGAGATTCCGGCCACTTCCGGTCAGTTTTTGGGGTACGTCCAAGAACAAAAGTGACTCCAAATTAGGTGTATTACCTAGGGTAGGAGTCTGGGCTCACGATTTGGAAGTTTTCCGGCGATGGGTATCGCTTTGGACACCCACGCGCTGCCGGCGCGTGTGGCGGCGCGTGGGCACTGTAGCTGAGGGGCATTTTTGTCCCATTGTGATCCTCTCGATGTCACGAGCGCGTAGGTGTGCTCGGATCTCAATTTGGATATCGTTAGAGTCCCGAACGGATATCGCATATCGCGTATTTTCCGGGTTCGCTGGGTTTGGACCGTTGGATGGTCCTGATATTATAATATGTTGATCTAGGTATTACCAGGATCGTGTAGGATTCGACGGATCGTAAAACGGAGTCCCGGATACTCCGGAAATGCCAACCCTGGGGTTAGGGTTTTAGTAACCGTCTGATCGCGTGATCGTGAGCGATCCGACCGTCCGATCTGGATCAAACTTGCAGGACATGTGTCCTAGAGCCTGTAGAACCTATAGGAACTTTCGGATCGGAATTTGGAGGTTGTGGGCCCCGCAGGCCCGTTTGACCCTAGGTTGACTGTGAGACCTTTGGGATAGTTCTACCTTCCCAGGAGGGTTAGAATGACCATAGAGACAGGTCTTGATGTTATGGGGATTATGGGGAATTATCGGATGCTAGTTGTTTACTAAGGTGTTTATATTATTAGAAATTAATGTATAAAAAGTATGTATGGATTTTATGATTGAATGTTAGTTTGCAGTGCTATATGCACTACCCTATGTACCTCCTCGGATGTTGACAAACCTCATACGTGGCCGGGTGCGTCCCGACGTATGAGGGGAAATGTGACAGTAAGATGGCTGGTGAGAATGTAGCCAGGCCCAAGTGACAGTAAGATGGCTAGTGAGAATGTAGCCAGGCCCGTGAGGTCGCACGCGTCTTTGGATTAGCTGGCGTGTTGACAGACCCCGTACGTGGCCGGGTGCATGAGTGGGAGATATGATGGTATGATGGCTAGTGAGAATGTAGCCAGGCCCAGTGTGAGGTCGCACGCGTCTTTGGATTAGCCGGCGTGTTGACAGACCCCGTACGTGGCCGGGTGCGTCCCGACGTATGAGTGGGAGATATGATGGTATGATGGCTGGTGAGAATATAGCCAGGCCCAGTGTGAGGTCGCACGCGTCTTTGGATTAGCCGGCGTGTTGACAGACCCCGTACGTGGCCGGGTGCGTCCCGACGTATGAGTGGGAGATATGATTGTGTGATGGCTGGTGAGAATGTAGCCAGGCCCAGTGTGAGGTCGCACGCGTCTTTGGATTAGCCGGCGTGTTGACAGACCCCGTACGTGGCCGGGTGCGTCCCGACGTATGAGTGGGAGATATGATGGTATGATGGCTGGTGAGAATGTAGCCAGGCCCAGTGTGAGGTCGCACGCGTCTTTGGATTAGCCGGCGTGTTGACAGACCCCGTACGTGGCCGGGTGCGTCCCGACGTATGAGTGGGAGCTATGTGATTATGTTTAGTGTGTTGTGATGGATAAACCCGAGAATGTATGAATTTATATGGATGTGATGGTTTAATTGATATCAGGAGCCAGGATTGATAGGAAAGAGCTACGTGTGGCTTGATCCCTTAGTAGGGTACGTAGGCAGCCTGGGATAGCGCCTAGGTGCAGCCACGACCTAGACACCACTTAGGTGGTTTTATCGAGTATGATGCGGACCTCGTGGTTGGTCCCTAAACTTGGTTGAATTGAGGCTTGTCTGGTGACTGAGTGAGTGAAGGTGTGTAGGGATGGATTTCGAATTGGATTTGTGCATGTGTGATGTATTAAGTTATTTTGAAAACAGTGTGAGTAGTTATGCTAAAATCATTTGAAGGCCGGAGGCCATTTATGTAAATTGCATGAGATTATATTGTGCGTGCTGCTGATTGGGTTATAAGATGTGTTTTATGCAGGTGGAAATTTTGGGGAATGTTCAATTTGCAGGGGAGACTCTGCCGAAATTTTGGCAGAAAGTCTAGTGCCATAAATCCTCTCTGGTAAAAGATGACATAGTTTTAAGGAGTGAACCCGGCGTGGGTGTGACGTCGGGGTCTCCGCAGGGTTCGTCTCGGATTCCGGGAAGTTCGGGGCGGGTCCTGTCAAATAGTATCCCTGCCGTCCAATTCTTTAAATTTTCTTTTAAGTTTCATCATATGCCCCTCATGTGACCCTTTTATGAGGGCATTTTTGTCAAAGCAATGCCACTCCAGTCTCTTTACTCCCCGTTTGGTTCACGGAACGGATTTGAGGGGAAATCAATTCTCATGTCATGGAGATTCCTTTCTCATGTTTGGTAATCCTGAGAAAATAATTAAGAAATACCACTATATTTCCTTTCACATGTTTGGTTTGTGTAGGAATGTAAAACAAAGTTTATTTAGTTTTCTAATTATACCCATATGAAATCAAATAAAAAAAGAATGCATTTAATGCTATATTGTAATTCTAAATTGTTAATGGGGAAAATATGGTCATGAAAAATGTGTATTTATTATTGACTCATTTTCCCAAACTTTCCCATGAAGAGGAAAACAAAACTCAAGGAAGGAGGATGGCTTCACTTTCCCCTTACTTTTTCATATGCAAGGCAACAATTTCCCATACTTGAACTTACATGGAAAAACAATTAATTTCTCATTCTCAAATCTCCTTTCCCATGACCTGTGTCTCCATTTTTATGTGATGGATTTTTTATTGTCATGACTTGGCGATCCCACTTCTCACTATTTTCCATTCCAAATGCACAGCTTCAGCCTTGCTTATGATGAAGCTGAAATTTGTTTATATTATACTAACTTATCCAGCCCACTAATTTACCACAGAAAGGCAGATAAGGCCCGAAACAGAGTCTCCTCCATTATCAACTTCAAAGCAGATGAGGCCATTTGGGTCATTTGCTGAAACCAATAATTAGATTTGAAACTTTTCTAAAGGGTAATGATTTCCCCATTCCTATTTTATCCACTTACATTCCTTTTTTAGTTATAAAAAAGGAGTGTATGTGGATAAAATAGGAGAAATAGGAGTGGGGAAATCACCACTCTTTCTAAACCCCACGTATGGAAACCCCCACTGATAAGAAAAAAACACCCAGGAAGAACAAACAAGTTTATATCCAACTTACAAATCTGCTTATGGCTTATGGGTACTAACATAACATCGACCTAAAGGAGGACAAATTTTTCGGTATGAACATAACATCGCTACGTGATACTATCAATTCACCTATATGTATACATAGTTGGATTAGTATTTGTAACACCGGACAGTCACACCCTTTTTCTTTTTTTTTCTTTTTTTTTTGCCAAATGAGCACCATTATAAACTTGTACTACATATTAACGTATCAAACAGATAAGGTTTAAGGTTTAAGCCATGGCTTGATTTACATTTGGAGTTGGGTATCATGCGTTGATGGTAATTTAAGGGTTGTTTTCTTTGTTCTAATCGAACATCCAAGTAAATAATAATAATAATAATAATAATAATAATTTACATATATATGACGCAGGTCAGCAAACATCCAATTGTATATGTTTATCTACTCACTATACAGAGTCATATACACTTCTGCACAAACACAGCCATGGCTATATACCGTCAGAAAGTAAACAAAGGGAATTGCTAGCTTGTCCAAAGTAAAGCATAATTGAAAGTAAACGACGCACTAGGTTCATAAGTGTTAGGGAAAAGATTGTTTAGTACCGGGCATAAATTTATAGTACATATCTGGTACATTGTCGATATAATTTACATTTATATTATTGATTCATATAATCTAGAATTAACATTGATGGATCATATATATATTGATAATGTATCAAGTATTTAAAATTTCGTAGTCGGTACCATACAATCACTCCTTTAAGCATAACACTGTGGGTGACCTATGCTATTGAAAAGATTGTTTAGTACCATGCATGCATTTACAAATTGAAAACCACAGTGCTATACTATTAAGCTGGCAATGGCACCCAAACAAGATTATCAGCAGGAAAGAAATGGCAGACAGGGCAGCTCCCAGGTTGAACATCAAACACATTGAATGCCACAAGGCTAGGGTCCCACTCAGAGGCGGACCTGTTAAGGAGCAAGAAGGTGCAGCTGCACCTCCCCTCGCCAGAAAAACCATTGTAGGTGCTTGAAATTGCCCTTTTGCTTAGCTGGTGATGGTGGTGTACAGATTACCTTATGTAAATATCTTTGTCTTTTTACTTTAATTTATTTTTATATTACTCCATTTACTTAAGTTTACAATGTAAATAAGGAAGTATCCCTCATTTGGATTCAAATAAAAATACTAGAAAATCAAATTCCCCCCAAATCAAAATTTGAAAAATCAGTTTTAGTGCAAAATATGATTTAGGCTAAAATGATAGCTCATTAAGTCAATATATACTTCATAATAAAATCCCATAAAATCAAGTTTCCTTATTTGATGTGTAATGAATAAAAACCGCCAAAAATTATCTTGAGAAAATGATTATTCCGAAAAACCATTTTTCATACTTAGTCAATATTTTTACATTGCCTTAGATATTTAATCCACAAAGAGTTTTTAGCCTTTCAAAATTGCACATCCGCTAAAAAATTCCTGGGTCCGCCAATGGTCACACTTAGAAGTATCAAAGTGGCAAACAGCAGCAGCTTCAACTCTCTCTCCATTCTCACAGCCAAGCAAAACTTGATATATCCTATTCTCACTTTCTTGGCTATGGCAATAGAAAACTGCATAAGGGTAAGGCATGGTGTGGCATCCAATCATTTTAGGAGCCAAGATTTCCTTGAGAGCTTCCAAAACGGTGTAGTTTTGCAAAAGGGTAGTTAATTTTTTATGTTGCGTTGTGGTTAAGACCTTGAACTTGGTGCTTGATCCAAAGAGTGCACCTACAAGATCAAGCATGGATTCTATGGAGGCAGCACAAAACTTGGCCTCTACTTTGATGGGTTCAAGCTCACATTGGGTCAATGTGAATTCAATGGCCTTGGCTTGGGGAGAGTCTTGGGTGAAGGAGAAAAATTCAAGAATGTAGGGGAGTTTTGAGATTGAGAAAGGAATGGAAGCAGCTTCTTCTCTAGGCAATATTCTAGGAGATGTAGAAGGGTCATTTTTGGAAAAGTATATGGGCATGGTTTTCCCTAGCTTCAGATCTTTTGGGGTGAAGAAAACATTTAGTGCAGGGTCCATGTGATGCATGGGATGATGTTGAATGATCATGATCATGCTCATAGCCTTCATGCAAATCAATCAAGTCATCATTGTTGTCTTTCCCATTTCCAAGAGAAATAATGCATTATTTCCTTGTGCAGTCCGAAATTATATGTTCAAACTTCAAGCAATTAGGATGAAACAAAAAATAAATAAATAAAAGCAAAAAACTTATAGACACACTGCAACAAATGCTGTTGAACTAAGAACACAATCAAAGAAATTATTACATCAAATTCAAGAAAACTTTGATGAATTGGTGAAAATTCAGTGAGGTGGAAATTAATGCTTACCAACAAAACAAGTAGTGCGTATAAGATGAGGCTCCAAGAAGAACGCATTTCCTCTCTTCAAATTGTCTCGATTTTCTTTTCTTTCTGATCTGCTTTGCAAGTAAGGAAGCAATAATATTATGATTTATCAGTTGGGAACTTAAATTTAATGCAAGTAGAGTTCTTTAATTCCTCAACTAAATTAATGCGCACATTATTCTAGCAGCACCTACGCAATTTCCTTCTTCTTCTTTTTTTATTATTTTTGTTGTTGTTCTTTTTGGTAAGTTTTAAATTTTTTTTTCTAATAGTATAAATATAGATTAAAATTTATATTTTCATTTGCTTCGGATCTTCATTGCTTAAAAAGGTGTTCCAAGGGTAAAATTTCAATAGGGCATTTGACTCTTTCAATAAATACAACTAGACTGAATGCTCGATGAATTTATAGAACTTGTTGAGTGTAAAGTGAAGGAAGTTGAGGTTCCCTCCAAAACAATTGGCAATGGGGGGAGTATAGCCTAACTCTTTATAAGCCATTGCAAGGTTTTCTAACTTTCCAATGTGGGACTTTTTACCTTCACATTTTCACATGCCCCCACACGTGTGGTGAATTTTCAAGTCTAACACGTGGACAATACATTTTGGGTGACGTGGAGCACGTGTGGCCATTGAGCTTTCACACGTGGGTTAACCCGATCTGATACCATGAAGAAAGTTGAGGTTTCACCCCAAAATCAATTGGCAATGGGGGAAGTAACTCAACTCTTTATAAGTCCTTGTAAGATTTTCTAACTTTCCAATATGGGACTTTTTACCTTCACATTCTCACATAAAGTAGCCGTATCTAATCAACCTGTAATACTGTCAACTAAATAATATCAATACATAGTGTGAAGTTTTCTTGTAGTGATTTTAATGGTGTTCCAAGAGATTAAAAAATGCATACTATTAGCATAGCATCTCATGGCTATTAATTACGTACGATAGATATGGTTAGTGAAGTACTATCTCGTGTCAATTCACAATAAGATGATAAAAAGGAAGCCAAAGGAGGGACATGTGGTGAGTGTGTCAGGTAAAAACGAAAAGGGAATCGAGTACCTACTTTATATCATGAATGGCTCTCCTTACTTGGACTTTTGGTGACGGAACGGTACTTCAATTTTGGTACTCATGAAAGAACTCAATTTCGGCTAATTTCCTTAACTAATTTCTTCAACGATTTTATACCTGCCTACTCCCACTAACTTTAGTTAAAGCTTGTGGAGGGAAATGGGAGATTCTTTTTCATCATAGAGGCTATTTAAAGTACTTGAATACAATCCAATATCATTTCATTTTATAAACAATTTTGATTTGATAATGTAACAAAATAACATGTTAAACTGCATTAACGAGATAAAACTTACTACAAGAATAAAATTATATGATTTTACAACTAATTTAACTTCTTTTTATCTTTTGTCTTCTCCATTTTGAGCTTAAGAATCCCAATAAGCATATGGATAAACCCTAGATGTGTCCTGGTTCAATGTATAGACACCCAACAACACCAATAAATAGTTAGCTTTTCCAATTTCAAACCCCCACTAAAAATATACGTTAAAAAGAGAGAGAGAAGATTCTGCAAGATAGGAATTATGTGGTTTCACTTGACAAATTTATACACAAGTCAATGAACAATGAAATCTCTCTTACAAAAGAGAGAGAGAGAGAGAGATAGAGAAAAGATTCTGCTTTTCTAGATCTCATAAATCTACTCGTTGAAAGTATCGCCAGTGTACAAAGTCTTTTGATTATCCTCACCGCCCCAATGCATGCATCAAATTTGGTCATCATCATAACCAAAATGAACCTTTCAATGGCTAAGAATTTCTTCACAGAAAGTGATAACCATTAGCAAAGCACAGACCATTCCAACCAATCGTGAGCTTACATGCACATCCACCTCTCTGACCATTTTGAGCCACCCTTTTACCAGAAGTTGATCGTGGAAAGATCATAGCCAATAGACAAATAGGCAACGACCTCCAAAAAGACCTATTTTACTTTATTCATCACATTGTTTTGTTCTCTTTTTTTAATAATGCAAGTTGACATCATTGTGTTTTGTCTCTTTTTGCAACCTGATCAGCTAAACTTAACGTGATCTCTAATGAATAAAATATATATTGGAAGAAAACCAGAAAAGTACAACTAGAAACTTCTTTATACATGATACAGAACTCAAGTTGACTTTTGTATACAAACATGTTGCATTACTATATTCTCGAATCTGAATTATTAGATTACAAGAATTCTTATTTGAATATCTAAAAAGAGAACAATATTGACAAAGTACAAAAAATTATTTTGGTTAATTGTCACACGTATGGCTGGTTGTTATTTGTTGATACATAGCGATCTACACCCACCTTATATCTTTAAGACAACTTTATTACTAAAAAAACAAATTTTTAAGCGAAATAGAATACGTTTTTATGGATGAAACAAAATAAACAAATAAGAAAACTCTAGTTTTTTTAAAAAAATTTATAAAAAAAGTAATGCTATGTGAGTAAACAAATAAGAAACAAAAAGTACAACTAGACATTTCTCACAAGACAAGCACAAGTACACAATATATAATATATTGCGGTGCACATTATAAGTTGACTTTAGCAAAGAGCCAACTCACATTTTTGGTGGGCATGCACTATAGAACCTAATCGAACCGCCTTTGAACTTGTCCCCTTGTCATCTCATCGAACCGCATTTGAGCTTGTCTCCTTGCCATCTTCGGAGAGTCTTTAGCCAATCCCAATTAGATCATATTCTTTTGTCTTTCTCAATTTGTAAGTCAGCTGATAATCAACAATATGAGAATCCTGCATGGAATAATACTAGATCCAATCTGTATATTACAATGATTATTAATATTTTGCAAAGTTTTGATTATGACTGCTTAAATAATTATAGCCTCATAGAAAACTAATATATCAAATGGTGATGTCAACTGTACGTGTAGATAAGTTTGTGACATGTATTTTTAGTGGAGATACGTGTATTAATATCTGTACGTATTTTGTTATGGAAAAATTGGAAGTAAACAAATCATTTCTTTGATGATATAATATGAAGGTCAACTTGTTTTTCAAAAGTTGAACGTTTGAGTCTCTTTGGTGGATATGTCAGGATGACTCTATCTTCCATCACATGGAAGGGAAGGCAAAGTCGAACTCTCTATCTTTTTTGTTGTGGAAGTCTCTCTCTTATGAATGTGGAGATAAACACTCTTTATTTTAGTTATAATCTCAGCTGTCACATGGTTATTTATATATTATATACAAGCGATATTGGAAGAGGGAGGAATCAGACTTAGGATCGGTGGTCATGTTCATGGCACCTCATCTTAAACAACACCATGGAAAGCCGTGATGAGATAGCCTCATCTTGCTTGCCGTTCGAATAGCTTCCATTTCTAATGATCGAGGACGGCACAATGCAGCTCTCCTTTGCTCTTAGAGCAGTTCCAGCAGCCCACTCGGGCTCGGGGGGGGGGGGGGGGGGGGGGGGGGAGCCAAAACGCCATTCCAGCAACAAGTGTTGGCCCGGGCAATGTGGGGTCCACTTGCCTAGGCTGGCCCGAAGGCAGGGGCTGCCCGAGTAGCAGCCCGAAGGCAGGCTGACGTCAGCGGGCGCATTTTTTTTTCTTTCCGCTGCCACGTGGCGCGATCTGGTCCTTCCGATTTTCGAATTTTCATCCAATCAAATGGCTTGGAATTTTTCAAGGCAAAAAATTATGAAAAAAAATCGTAAAAAATTTTAAAAAAACCCCAAAAAATACTGAATTTTTTTCTATAAATATCAATCCATACTCTTCACTTTTAACAACAAATTCACTTTCTACTCAATAATTTTTTCACTTTCAACTCTAAATTTTTTTCACTTTCAAGTTTAATTATTCACTTTCTACTCAATAATTTTTCACTTTCAACTCTAAATTTTTTTCACTTTCAAGTTTAATTATTCACTTTCTACTCAATAATTTTTTCACTTTCAACTCTAAATTTTTTCACTTTCAAGTTTAATTTTTCTCTATCAAAGAAACTATTAAATAAAATTCCTTTTTATTCAAAACATTCCTTTTTATATGAAATTTGAAAAAAAAAATTTATCTGAAATTTGAAACTGAAAATCTTATCCAAATATTTTATAAAAAAATCTCATCCGAAAATATTGTCCAAATTAATTGTTTAGGTAAACAAATTTGTGAAAAAAACAAAAAAATTGAATAGTACCCCCCCTTGCCATGGCAACTGCTGGAAGTGCAATTTACTTTTTGCAAGGGCAGACACTATTCCCGTGAATAGTGTCAGCCCTAGCCCCCCCCTTGCCATGGCAAGATTCCAATTGCTGGAAGTGCTCTTAGGGTTGAGGAGAGACTAAACGTAACTTGACTCAACCGGAGCCAAATGTACAGTCGTCGTAGAAGTAATTAGCGCTTGAGTTGGCCACTCTAAATTGGAGAGAGAGAGATTGGACTAACGAGGAGGGGGAGCTGCCCGAAGAAAGAGTGGCACTAGTATCAGTACTCGACGTTTGTAGATGGAGGCATTGTTTTTTTTGTTTATTAAATTTTTTTGTGAGGGATTGGAACTTAAATTAACCAAAAAATTTGTTGGTTTTGAAGAGAAGGATTGTGCCTCCCAATAAAATTTCCCTTCTCTTTGCTCATAAGGGCCAAGAAGTTGCTACTACACTACCTGCAACCATGGTGCAATAACAGTTTTTGTGATTGTAACTATACGACATAATATCCGAGCTCCCTATGTAATTATTTACCTGTAATTTTAATAGGAAAAATTAATACATAAATTAATCCTCGGCCTTTGATTAATTCTCAATGGTTCATTTGAAATATATGACCAATAATTTTTTTTTGATATCGAAGAGACAGTCAAATCCATTCAAAAGAAATACAAATAAGAAATTGATAATATGACTTTCTCTCTTTTGTCACATGTACATTGGACTCATTACGTCTAATGTTAATAAAATTATTTGTGAGATTATCAAATACATAATGTACGTGCATAATTAAACTTATTAGTGCCGGTCCTAATTTTTCCTCTGTATATAATAAAACGTGCTTTATTTTGACCTTTTATAAGGTGAATTTTTGAAGATCAATTTTCAACCCTCCCTCTCGAGTGGAGCCAATAGCTAATAGCGCTAATTCATTACTTAAAACTTAAAAATTAAAACTCTAAATATACAAAAGCATGACCTAGCCTAATAGCATGTTGTGTAATTAGCCAAATAGATTAATTTGCTCGCTTGTTTTGCCGTCCCTAGCTAGTTACATGTAGCCCTGAAGTGGCCCTCGGGCTACACATGCTTCATTGAAAATTTAAAGAGATTCCTAGTATTTTTATGGAAGAATTTGCAAAATATCCCACCAAACTAAGTTATTCACAATCTTGACCCCTTCGGACAGTATACCACATGAGTTTTCTTATATAATAGGTCAACTTTGGATATTTTGTTAGCCCTAATAGTTTTCGTGGATCAGTATTTTGCTTGGGGAGTTTTGATTGTTAACATATTTGCACGAAACATATACAAATTAGTATTTTGCATGTCAGAATTGTGCTGCTTGTATATCTTTGTTTATCATATGTGCATGTGCATCTAGAAGATCTGAATGGCAACCCTCCTCTCATTTGTCCCTCTTCTACTTTTCTTCTAGAACTTGTTTAGTCTCTTTTTTTTTTTTTTTTTTTTTTTTTTTTTTTTTTTTTTTTTATAATAAATTTTAATAAGGTCTCTCTTGTTAGGTAAAACGAAGAAAAGACAATGAGTATGCTAAGCGAGCAAAATAAATTTTAAATAAGCAGTGTGCATCGTATTTACTGACAACACCACTCATCATATCTCTCGTATATAGAAATTTAATTTATTTGAAACTCGACTTCTGATATTTTCCTTTAATAGTAATCATCCACTTCTTTCTTGGGACGTACAATTTCATCCTACCTATTGTGAAGCCAAGCCAATATTGTTGCAGATGATGAATTTGCTAAACTCAAACCTTTTCATTCTCAACTTTGCATTTACTTTTCTAATTTTCCTTTTTATGTAAAATTACAAGATTACAAGAGTTGTGCTTTGTGTTTGTATAGCAGAAAAAGTATTATTTGTTTACAAAAGTTTGTTGTGTATATTCATAGCAAAAGCAGGTCAGCATTGATCACGCACATAGTTTATAAGCCACTAGTGATAAACAAAATTGTACTGCAAAGTCCACTTTCTCTTTTTTAGACATTGCTTCCCTCCTTCCGAGAAAGGAACCATTCCTACTTTCTGCAAATTACAGTTTGACATATATGAAAAATAATTCAATCAAAAACATAAAAAAGAAAAATATATGCACACATGTCCAATTGTGATTGACAGGAAAATAGGAATTCCTACTTTCAGAGAAGGAATATGCAAGTTTTTTTTTTTTTTTTTTTTTTTTTTTTTTTTTTTTTTTTATTTATTATACTATATTTTTAAAAAAAACTTTTTGAGAGAGCATTTTGGCTTACCAAGCTACCACCCTGTCCACTACAAAATCTAGAACCTGTTATGTCACCCAATTAACAAACCAAAAATTAAAATAATCTTTGCAGTAATCTAAAGGGGGAAGTTGCGTGCTTTGACCTTTAATTGAACTTCGATCAACATTTTGTAATAAGATAAGATGGAATGGGTGCTATCAATTCCAGTTGCTCTCAAAATTTGATCAACTTGTAATTTTCAAATTCAACTCGAGAGGAATATTCCATGAAACCCACCTGGATTTTGTTTCACAAGTCAAACTTTTTTTTTTGGTAATTAAGTCCCCTCCAACCTAAGCTAAATTGTCATCTCTATTTGGTCAAAAGTGTTGGACACTTTTTATTTTTTCTTTTGGTTACTCGTAAGTGTTTTAATCTTGTAAGCTTCATTGATATATGTGGGATTCACACTTGAAATGAAAGCTCACATCATCAAAGTTCGAAGACGGTCAGGTAACGCTTCGGTATTTATCTCTTTTATTATATATCAAACATTAATCATGTGACGAGATAGATAGACATAAATATATATATATATATATATGGAAGTTTTTCACTACCTTAGATCAACAGCTGACAACCGTGTCTAGAAGGCTCACACCAGCAATTTTTGCACCAGTTGCAATTTAACCCCATATGACAAATTTGGAACAGTCCAAACCCCATGCCAGCATTACTTAAAGGGGTTTTTTTTCATTGCAGGGTCACAAGTTCTGCTAAATTGCATAAATGTGTTTGACAGACAGCATGCATAGCTGCCTATAAAGGGACTCAGAGCAGAGAGAGAGCTGATCATTTAGAGTAAGTGTGTTCTCTTGAGCTAGCCATATGGAGTTCTCTATCTCTTGCCTTCTTCTAATTCTGTCCTCCATTCTCTTGGTAAGCATTTCTCAAACAGCTTTTAGTCACATAGTTTTTCATATTTAATTGAATTCCTTTTATCAAAATTTAAGAAATTATTGTAACTTTGATTCAATTTTCATCATCTAACCCTTTTTCATGGAACATATATAGCTTTCCCAGCAGAGCAATGCAAGAAAAGACTTGGGAGGCTACTGGAAGAGTGTGATGAATGACCAGCCAATTCCAGAAGCCATCAGAGACCTCTATTTCCATCAAGATCATGAAGATCATTTGCCATCTCTCGCTGGTTCAAGAGAAAAAGACCATTTTGTTAGGGACTTTGGCATTAGGCCTAATGCTATATTTTACCATGGAGCTCATCATCATCATCATCAGCAGCAGCAGTCTGCAGAAGACAAGCCCATGCATGATATGGAGCCCAAAGAAGAAACTTCTTATATTGAAACAGTCACCCATGGCTGAAGAATCAGATATTCAGGAAGATCAGGAATATATTCCATGTGTTTTTTTTCTGTTAGAACGAGTTTGAAACAGAGGAGCTAGCTCTTATGTTTGTACTATATTTAGTAGTGTTTTGTGCTTGGGTGTTGGGATTTCTCAGTTTTCAATTATGGTTATGTTTCCATGTTGCCAAGGTAGTGATAATTGAATGTTTGTATACAGTAAGTGTGTGAAACATGCATAATTAATGGTGGAATTACTGGATTGATTTCTAATGAATATTTTGGATATTTTCAGAGTAAAATCTTTAGTTCTTTTTTTAGTTTGAAATAAATCAACCACCACTAGATCATCCATATGAGAGCGATCAAGAACAGAGAAGCAGAAGTGACTTTGCAGATGGAAATTTAATCTGTTCTTTCTGCAGATGAAATTCCAAATATAAACATCTAATGACAACCTCTGGTTTACATATTTCTTGGTGGATAAAGTGAACAAAGCCAAGCCATGTAAAATTCAACATTTAATCTCTTGAGAAAGCTTGAGTCAAATACTAAGAAGCAAAGCATGATGAGCGCCTGCATTGGCAGAAATATTTTTGTTTAACATAACAAGTGAGAGGTAGTAAGGCGGGGTTGGAATTTGGAAGTGCTAGGTTTTTAGTGCTCTGCCCTGCACCTTTGAGACTTGGTCAACAAAAGCTGCTCCATTTTCAATGTTCAATAAATTCAAATGCATGCTTCCAAATACACAACCATTTCTGCAGTTTCACAAGGAAAATAAGCAATTCTTTTGTGCATGGTTGCCATTTGTTCAAACAATTCAAATGCATGCTTCTAAGGGTACAGAAACATTTCTGCAGTGTCACAAGGAAAATAAGCAATTCTTTTGTGCATGGTTGCCATTTGTTCAATCAATTCAAATGCATGCTTCCAAATTTAAGCAGATTCAGAGAGTAAAGAAGCAGTTCTTCTACGCATGGTTGCCATTTGCTTACACCAGGGCACAGCCTAAAATGTTGAAAACATGTGCATGGTTGGCATTTTTCAGTTTTTGACTGCATTGCATAGTAAATTGTTGCTCACTAAATTTAACAAGCATAGGTAATCGTGCTGTCACGTTTTATCTTGATTTGGAGAAGAATTTACATGTAATGGACTATTACGGTGTCTCAAATCTATGTAATGGACTATGGTGGTATCTCAAATTCGTCACGCTTTCCATCATTTTAATAGAATGGCAACATGACTTTTTCTGCACTTGATAAACATTGTACAACAGTACAGTACAGAACAGAACAGGCCTAGTACAGTATATTGTACCACCACACTGACATCACACAAGCTATTTGTTTTCTCTTTTTTTATCATCAAAACGATATTAGAAAAAAGGTGAACGCGATCATTATGAAAAGAGAGGAATCAAATAGATAATTGTAAGAGTAAGAGTAAATGTTCATAATCACTTGAGTTTTGATTCCATCAAAACGAATCGAACTTAAGACTAAATCTGATCTTAATTATTCGGACCATAAGAGTAAATATGATGTTAATCACTTGTACCATAAGAGTAAATATGATGTTAATCACTTGTAGCTCACTTGAGCTACAGTATATGTATACTAATACAGAACAGATAGGACTCGACTCAGATTGCTCACCGAGGTTGCTGATGCCTCATGCATAGAAATTTAGATCTCAAATTATTCACCAAGGTTTCTGTTGCTTCATGCATAGAAATTTTTTAAGTCGTTTCATATTTTCCATTAAGGAATCTTTTTCTATTTTCAAAATTGTACTTTTTCATTGTAAACATAAGAATTTATAGCCTAATCAGACAGCTAATTTGCAGCCTTTTGTAAACCTGTTTGGTTGATTAATATTTCTTTTATGATAGTATTTTTTCTTCAAGAATCAACAATCTGGTCATTAAAACTTCAGTTCCAGGAATTTCAGTGGAAAAATCAAAAGCTTCCGAAGAAGCTTGACCTTTTATATCATGTTCAAACACTGGCCCTGCATTAAAATTACTACATTGAAATGGATGCTGGAACCCACACAAGATTATCAGCAGGAAAGAAATGACACACAGCAGAAGCCCCTGGCTTAGTCCTAAGCACACTGAAAGATGCATGATTAGGACTCCATTGAGAGGTGTCCAAGTGACAAACAGCAACAGCTTCTACCCTATCTCCATCCTCACCACCCAACAAAAACTTGAAAACCTTGTTCGCACTTTGCTGGCTGTGGCAGTAGAAAATTGCATAAGGGTAAGGCATAGTGTGGCAAGCCACCATCTTGGGAGCCAAAATCTCCTTAGGCTCTTCCAAAATAGTGTAGTTCTGGAAATTGGTAGTTGAATTTGTGAGATGGGTTGTGGCTACAACACTGAAAGGGGATTCCAATCCGAAGACGCCACGTGTGAAGTCAAGCATGGATTCTAGGGAAGTAGCACAGTACTTGATCTCTCCCTTGATGGGTTCAATCTCACACTCCCTGAGAGTGTCTTCCATGGCCTTGGCTTGGGGAGAGTCTTGAGAGAAGGAGAAGAAGTGAAGGAGGTGGAGCAGTTCTTTTGATGAGAAAGGAATTTGATCTGCTTCTTCTCTTGGTAACAAGTGGGGGGATTTTGAAGGGTTTCTTTTGGGAAAATAGATGGCCATGGTTTTGCCCTCCTTTAGATCCTCCAAGGTGAAGAAAATCATAACTGAAGGGTCCATGTGATGATGCATGTGGGATGATGGATGATGATCATGAGCATGCTCTGTATGTGTTGTTTCATGGCCATCACCATCTTGTGTTTCACTCATCTTCCTGCCTCCAGTTCCTTGAACACACTGCACAATATTTAAACAGAAACCAAAAGAAAAAACTAACAGTTATTAGAACTAGAGATTCCTATGCTGCAGCATCATCAAATTTCTCTCAATTACATGATAAGAATATGAAGAGTGGGAATAAATTGAAGTTACCATAACAAGAACAAGTAGATGAAGTAAGGGGCTCCAAAGAGCAAGTCCTGAAGGCATGTTTCTTCCCTTGTTAAAAGTCCTTGCCATTTTGTTCATCTGGTAATTTTGAAAGAGCCACAAAGATATATAAAGTTCTAATCTTTGACTATCTAGACATAGAAAAGCTATTTCTCAAATAAATTATTTCCCAAGGAAAAACTAAAATTTAAACCAGTGAATTAAAAACTCATTTATTGACCAAAGGTGAGCAGCTGTAGCTCTATAATGCATCTTTTGACTTGCAGGTGTTGGGCCTATTGGCCATCCACTTGTTCTCTTTAGTTTGTCTTGTTGTTATTATTATTATTATTATTATTATTATTATTATTATTATTATTATTCCAAGTGTAAATTTTGAAGATCCATGCTTTTCATGTGTGGGGTCTTTGGGCCTTTGGGCCTTTAATGATGTAGCATTTCACTACAAAGCCTAAGGCTCATCTTTTGACTTGCAGGTGTTGGGCCTATTGGCCATCCACTTGTTCTTGTCTCTTTAGTTTGTCTTGTTGTCATTATTATTATTATTATTATTCCAAGTGTAAATTATGAAGATCCATGCTTTTCATGTGTGGGGTCTTCAGCCTTTGGGCCTTTTGGGCCTTTTGGGCTTTCCTTAATGATGTAGCATTTCGCTACAAAGCCTAAGGCTCCGTTTGGTTCCGTTTGGTGCACATAACGGATTTAAGGGAAAATTACTTCCCATGTTATTTCCCAATGGATGGGAAATTGAAGATTCTTTTCTCACGTTTAAAGTAATACTGGGAAAGGAACCGTGAGATTTCAGCTTTTTTCATTTCCATATGTTTGTTTTGAGTAGGAATGAGAAATAAAGTTTGTATAATTTTCCAATTATACCCATATTAAATCAAATAAAAAAAGAATGCATTTAATGATACATTGTAATTCTAATTGTTAATGGGGACAAAATGGTCATGAAAAATGTGCATTGAATGTTGACTCATTTTTCCAAACTTTCCTATGAGGAGGGAAAACAAAACTCAAGTTGAGAGGAGGGCTTCACTTTCCCTCTTACTTTCTCATGTACTAGGCAACCACTTCTCATGCTTGGACTTACCAAATATAAGTAAGCAATTAATTTCTCATCCCCAAACCTCCTTTCCCATGAACCAAACAGGCCATAAAGAGACAAGCAGAGTCAGCATTTATCTACACACAAACAAAATGTCGGCAACCTTCAAGATTTGATTCTTCTCTGCTGTAGAATAAGATAAATAATAATAGAACCCACCTGAATAACTCAAAAAGAAAGAAAATAAGCTCTAGTTATAGTATTTCCACAATTATTTCTTTAATTAAATTAATTTTCTAAATCATCATTCAACAATCATTCCTATAAAAAAATAAAAAAAATTCAACCAAACTAGATATCGGTTAGTCATTTAATTAAAGCATGATAATTCATTGATTAATCAAAACATTAAATTTGTCTATTTATTTAATAACAATTAGCTAACTAAGCAATTTCTGCTTTTGTTTATATTTTTGGAGTTTAAACGGTGGCCTAAAAGATAGAAGATTCCGGTTATCAAACTACAGTGGTACAGCGTACGAGTTATGATAGGATAAACAGAACAGACAAAATATCCTTTGTCAACAATGACCCTCAAAGGATCTTGCCGATACTTGTCAAATATAGAATGCTTATTTTATTGCATTATTGGAGGTCCCAAAAGAAACAAGAAATTATTTACAAGTAGAACTCCATGCATGTGTGAAACATATGTGGACATTGAAGTGGATAGTTTTGGATTATTGCTATCTTCCTAATTATTATCAGAAAATTATTGGAGCCCAAGAACATATGTGGAATCATATCACATAGATTTATTAATAGAAAAAAATCATATCTATTTTAGAAATCTTCCAAAAATATAGGGCCCATATTTAGATACGCCCTTGATCTCTTCTAAATATAATAATCAAACTGTGAAATATTAGTAGACGATCTTTACTTGAGCTCGTAGATATAAAATTGTCGTTGTATTTGTAA